TTAAAAAAAAAAAAAAAGAGGAAGCCCCGTCCGGTGTCCTTGATTTCCGTTTCGCAACCGAGGCGGTGGAGCTCCGGTTTGGGGTGTCCCTCCCCCCCCAGCTTCTTTTAATCCTGTCCTTCAAGAGCGAGGGCAGTCGGCGGCCCTTGCGCGGGTCTGCCGTTTAAGGGCTTCGGCAACCAGGTTCTGCATCCCGGAGGTTTGACTGGGTGGCGTCTAAGTTTGCAGCCGGGGGATCTTTGGACGGGTCGATATGCTGGAGCTTCAGATTTGCATAGTCTGACTTGAAAGTACGCTGCAGTTCTTAGTTCTCGGTTCCCAGGTGTTGTTTCCCCTGATCCTTGGGCCTTCTGCTTGTCCAAAATTCCCGCACAAAGCCGGCTTTTCGAGCTTCCCTGCTCTGGGCTCTCTGCTTTTCGAAAGCCCCTCCTGCGTGGGCAGCAAGCGTCTCTTCCACCGACGATCCTAACAAATTCATGACATCCTGCTAAGGCAGAGGTGTGTTACACATGGGGTTGGGGCAACTTGGAGGAAGTTGCTTTTATTCAGCCAGTGCATTCTCTGCTGGATTCCTGTTTGCAATAAGTCAAATCTGGAGGAAACGTCCGAGAGGTGACCTAACCAGAGATAAACACATTCTGTCTTTTTGCTTGGAGTCTCTTCTTCTCCCTGGTATCAATCTCCTATCTGGCACGTTGGAAGCACAACCGGAGAATGTCCCCTTTGTGGCCCGTGCACACTCTTTACCTGAAGGCTGTCACATCTGCCCTTTGCTTGCCTTTCTAGAAACGGATGTCGGTGACCGAAGCGGGGATCAAGTACCCAGAGACCACAGAAGGAGGTCGCCCCAAGCTTGGGGGGTTAATGGATCCTCGCCAAGGTGTCATCGAAAGGACCGGACGGTGCCAGACGTGTGCAGGTGGGGACCTTGGCTGTGCCCTCATCTGTGTGGAAGGTATTGAGGAAACATAGCCGAGGCCATCACGGCCTTCTGTTTTTCTCTGGCAGGCAACATGACTGAATGTCCTGGCCATTTTGGCCACATTGAGCTGGCCAAGCCCGTCTTCCATGTCGGCTTCTTAGGGAAGACCATGAAAGTCCTCCGCTGCGTTTGTTTCTTCTGCTCCAAACTGCTGGTGGACTCTGTAAGTAACAAGGGCACCAACGTGCAGCTGAAGAAATTGACTCAAGGAGTTTGCTTGTCCTCACAGTCGTTAATATGGGTAGTCCTTGCTTAATGGCGACAATAGGAACCAGAAAATTGGTCGTTAAGCAGGGCAGTTAAGTGAGTCACCTTGTGAATGGACCCGATTTTACGACCATTTTTACAATCATTGTTAAGTGAATCACCGTAGTCGTTAAGTGAATCCAGATTCCCCAATGGAAGTTTTGTCCAGAATTTGCTTAACGACCATTGTAAAAGAGATCACAAATCCTGACCACGGAGGGGTGGTACGACAGTTTGTGATGGTTGTAAGTGAAAATATAGATCGTAAAGCACTTTTTCTGAGGCCATTGTAACTTTGAATCATTGTTAAAGAAGTCATTGAGGACTACCTAGCAGGGCTCGCTCACAGCTTGTGGACTGGCTGAAATAAAGCCTTGCTTTTTCAGTCTGTAGCAGCTTCTCTGCTCAGTGGCTGGTTTGGCAGAGATGATGAGGACTGGTTAACTGCCTCTGGGCAAGCCTTTCTTACCCCTCGGTAGGAATGGCTGCTGCATCGTGCTCCCTCTGGGACTGCCCTTGCAGAGTCCCTGGAAGCTTTAATTGTGCCTAATGAAGTAGCCAAGCTAAAGTTGGCCCATAATTCTGGGACCATGTACTCGTGGCTGGACAATCTGCCATGGGTGCTGCTTGTTTCCTAAGAACGGGTCAAGATGCTACTTCTCGCTTTTAAAATGCAACACGGTGTCCTTATCCGAGGGACTGTCTGGCGCAGCGTGAACAGTCTGGCCCTTAAGTAAAGACGCTCTCCCGTTTCTGGGATGCGTTCGTTGTGCGGGCAGGAGAAAGACGCTCCTCCCGTGTTCTTTCTAAGCTGTAGCCTATACTGCCCCAAGAAGCTGCCTCTCTGCTTTCAGGGCAGCCAAATGTATTGACTTACATCAGTAATTTTAAATGTTTTATTGGTTTTTAATTGTCAGTATTTTAGAGCATTGGGTATCTATTGGTAGAAAAAGGGGAGGGCGTATAGAATCCATAAAAAAAATAAAGTATTGTCTACACCAGCATTTCAGAAGCCAAGGCTAAAGTGGAGTGTAGAGGATAGAAAATGGCTTTTGAAAACAGGGCTTCTGAAGATGATGATGGGAGGGCCAAAGGCAGGGCTCGCCCAGCCCTAGCTGGGACTCAGTGCCCCTATGTCTTGCGGGGGATCATTTCCTGTGCGTGTTCCTTTTTGCAGAACAACCCGAAGATCAAAGACATCTTGGCGAAATCCAAGGGCCAGCCGAAGAAGCGGTTGACTCACGTCTACGATCTCTGCAAAGGCAAGAACATCTGCGAGGGGGGAGAAGAGATGGACAACAAGTTCGGGGTGGAGCAGCCGGAAGGTGACGAGGACCTCACCAAGGAAAAGGTGAAGAGCCGCAACGTGGCCGGGAGGGAAGGGAAGGGAAACCTTAGCGAACAAATATCACCTCTTGGTCTTAACTCTGCACGTTCCCGCTCTGCTTGGTAACTTCCTTGGGGGCGTTCCATTCCTAAAATAACTGGACTTCGTTCAGTGTTGTTTGCGTTCTTTTCTGGTATGAGGCCTTTCATACCGTGGGTACAAAATTGAGGCTCAACAAGTTTAGATTCCGAGGAAGAACTACCACGGACACATGCTTTCCTAATCTAGCTTGGCAATCGCTGCCTGATGTTTTGCTCCCTTTGTAATGAACCAAAAAAGTCACAAAATTCCATCCCGAAGGCGCGTGCCTTTCTTCTGGCCCCGATTAGGTTCATTAACCACATTGGTCTTCAGCATTCCATGTGTTTTTGGCCACATCGCTATTGCGGGAGCTAGTACAGAAGTCGTGTATTGGACTGGAAACCTTTTCCCTTGATCGTAAATACGGAAATATCAATAGTGGTCAGTTCTCAACCAGAAATAAGAGTCTTGGATTCTGTACACCTGTTGTCTGGGAGAACATCTGTTTCAGTTTGCAAGGCTGAATTTCCACTGGGAAATTGCTGCACAAACGTTGCCTGTGATACCTTAATGCTAATTTTCCAAGGGCAATTTCAGGCATCTTCATCCAGTTGCGTGTTCATGCTCCAGTTGTAATTTGGGAATTAATTTGGAAAGTAATTTGGAAAATGGAAGCAGTTTCGGTGCTTCATGTTTGTCATTCAGCAGCAAGAATAACGCTTCCGTTGACTGCTGATATTTTTCCTCAGAACATTCTTGGAGGAAAAAGAGGGTCAGTTAGTGGCAGATCTGCGGATTATGGCTTAGTTTCGTTCTGAATTAATTTAATTGATGCCTGCCTAAAAGAAACATTCCCCTGGAAGTCCCTTAGTCTAAAGTAGTTTTTTCTGATTAATTAAATTGAATTCTATCTAAAGTCTACCCAGGTTGATTGGGGTTTCCTGTTAAAGTCAGAGGAAATATTGATAATGTATATATTGATAATATATGTGGCTGGATAGCATAGTGGTTAGAGTGCCACCCTTGGATGCGGGAAACTGGGGTTTGAATCCCAGCTGGTATCTACCTTACCAGAAGGGGTCTCTGGGCAAAGATCTCTTAACCCTTCGCCTGCCTACCTCGGATACGAGAGTGACATAAACTAAGAGTCATGCTGGCTCGGACGTTGCCCGGATTAACAAGGTCTGTGCCAGATGTTGGGGAACCAAGACAATCTGACAATAAGTGGACTTCTGGAACAAACCGTACATGGAGGAGACAAGAGAACCTGGAATTGATGGAATGCTATTACAACAGTAGACCTGATGAGAGGGGGTATACCCAGCGCTTCAACATAGTGAAGAAGAGCCTACTGTCATAACTTGAAATAAACTAACTACACATCCCAGACTTGAGAAGATGCGGAAGAACAACTGGATGTGCAGCCAACATCTGAAGCTGGAACATCACCCCCCCCCCTCCATTACAGAGTATAGTAGCTGATATGAGGCATAGGATCATGGATAAATTAGCTACAGTCAACCCTTGAGGCCGATTTCCAAGGTATCTGCGAGGAGGATGCTGGAATGGAAGATCAAGGCTGTCAGGAGGGAGGTAGTGCATTCCAGAGAGGGGGACAAGGCAAGTGCCTTCTCAGTCCGCAGCAAGACCGTGAGAAGAAGAAGAAGAAGAGGTTTAGACTAGTCCCTCCCTAGAGTATCATGGGGTATATCCACTAGTTGCTGTAGTGTAGAGTCAGTCTGGTGAGATTCTGTCTAGAGAGTGTAAGCAAATAAGGGAACTGTACTTGACTGGGCTGTTTCATCGTCGTTCTTGGGCTGAGCCTGACAGGCTCCGTGCAGAAGTACCATCAGATGGTGTGCTAGAAGATGCCGATAGAGCCCTCATGACAATCCCTACTACCAGCATAACTCAAACCAATGAACTGGTATACGCTACAGCCGCCATAATCCTGGAGATGCTTGGCTACATGATCAAAAAGAACAGCAGTACGTACCCTCCCTGGAAAATAAGGTTGGAGGTGAAGATCAAGGCAACTTGGAGAGAAGTTAGTCAGCTGGTGGAACTACAGAAGGGTGTGGAGATTAAGGATAAGACTCGGCTACTGAAAAGTACAAAGGCCTGACTCCATCTGAAGCCCTGGAGACTGCTAAACAAAGGCTCACAGCACTGGCTGCCAGGCTAAAGAAGCAGAGGCCAAGAAGATAAATGCCGTTCTCCAAAGAACCATCCAAGGTGTACTCCCATCCGCAGTGCAACAACATAATAACAGCAGAGCCACCAGCAGCAGAAGCTGAACAGTACAGGAAGAAAGAAAAGACACCTGGCACCAGTGCAAGTGGTTGCAGGACGTGAGAGCAGACCACACCAATCTCAGAACAGGAACCAGTCACCCTCACAGTAGCAGATATCCAACAGTGGGGCTAAAGAAACTAATAGCAGTGCATGAACGCCTGGCAGCACAGATGAACCAGCTGCTAGCAGCAGGCTCCCATCCAGGCTGGCTAACCCAAGAAGGATGGTGCTGATCATAGAAGACCCTCACACGGGAACAGCCCCATCCAACTACCAGCCAATAACCTGCCTCCCCACAATGTGGAAAGCCCTATCAGGCATCATTACCCACCAAGCTACAGGACCATATGGACCAGAACAGGAGCACAGCTCAGAAGGGCATTGGGACAACACCAGAGGCTCAAAACACCAGTTGCTCATAGATAGAGCAGTCGCCCAAGTCTCAAGGTCTAGACAGACCAATTGGAGCACAGCCTGGATGGACTACAGGAAAGCCTACCACTCAGTGCCACACTCTTGGATCTGTGAATGCCTGGCACTATGCAGAGTCAACAGGACACTAAGGACCTTCCTCAAGAACTCAGTGAGACTGTGGAAGACAACACTGGAAGTCAACTTAAGATGGCTCGCGCAAGTGCGGCATATACGGTGGGGCAAAAAAGTATTTAGTCAGCCACAATTGTGCAAGTTCTCCCACTTAAAAAGATGAGAGAGGCCG